TTTGATGTTAGCTGGCTGTTTTGCCTATTAGTTGATGTAAATTCTTCATTATGTTGATGCTCTTTACTTTTTGGTATATTTTTGGAAAGGCTGATACAGGTTTTTCCTTTCTACGTGTAGTGCCTCTTTCAGAAGCTCTTGTAAAGCAGGTCTGGTGGTGATAAAATCTCTGAGTATTTGCTTGTTCACAAAATATTTTATTTTTCCTTCACTTATGAACCTTAGTTTGGCTGGATATGAAATTCTGGGTTGAAAGTTCTTTTCTTTAAGGATGTTGAATATTGGTCCCCACTTTCTTCTTGCTTGTAGGGTTTCTGCTGAGAAATCTTCTGTGAGTCTGATAGGCTTCCCTTTATGGGTAACCTGACCTTTCTCTCTGGCTGCCCTTAGTATTTTCTTCTTCATTTCAACCCTGGTGAATCTGATGATTATGTGCCCTGAGGTTGGTGTTGTTGAGGAATATCTTTGTGGTGTTCTCTGTATTACCTGGAGTTGAATATTGTCCTGCCTTGCTAGGTTGGGAAAGTTTTCCTGAATAATATCCTGAAGAGTATTTTCTAACTTGGATTCATTCTCTTCGTCACATTCAGGTACACCTATCAAATGTAGATTAGGTCTTTTTACATAGTCCCGTATTTCTTGGAGACTTTGCTCATTCTTTTTTATTCTTTTTTCTCTACTCTTGTCTTCTCATTTTATTTCATTAAATTGGTCTTCAACTTCTGATATCCTTTCTTCTGCTTGATCAATTTGGCTGTTAAAACTTGTGCATACTTCCCAAAGTTCTCGTGTTGTGTTTTTCAGCTCCATTAATTCACTTATATTCCTCTCTAAATTGTTTATTCTCGTTAACATTTTGTCAAACATTTTTTCAAAGTTCTTAGTTTCTTTGCATTAGGTTAGAACAAGTTCTTTTAACTCACAGAAGTTTCTTATCATCCACCTTTTGAAGCCTACTTCTGTTAATGGAACACACTTGTTCTCCATCAGGCCTTGTTACATTGCTGATGAGGAATTGTGATCCCCTGTAGAGGGAGAGGCATTCTGATTTAGGGTATTCTCAGCGTTTTTGGGCTTCTTCCCTTCATTATAAATTTATCCATCTGTCATCTTTGTAATTACCGACTTTCTAATTAGGTTTCTGAGTGGACGTTCACCTTGTTGATTCCCAGCGCTGGAATCTGAGCAACCCACTGTGCCAGCTAAAAGAGCGGCCTTAAGATTGATGGTGCTTTTCTGTCTGGAAATCTCCGGTCTGGTTTCTCTCTTTAGTTTGTCCTTCAATCAGCTAAATAGGCTACTCTGCCTTCCCGAAGTTCCAAACGTTGGCCAAAATGGGACCCAGTCTCGTTTACTCTGCACCAACAACTGCTGCGTGGAGGTGCCAGCAAAACCGCAGCACCAGCCACAAGAGTCATGCTGGTGACCCATGGGGCTCCTCTGCTGGGAATCTCATGGTCCCTGAGAAACAAAAATTCATCTGACAGTGTGGCGTCCTCTCCTTCTCTGCGCTTTCACCGGGATCTACAATCCCAGTGAAACTTCCTCGTCTTTCAATTTATTGAAGTAATTTCTGTAGAAATCATAACAGTTCTTCTTCATACATCTAGTAGAATTCCGCTGCATATCCATCAGGTACTTGGCTTTTTTGATTAGTAGGGTATTTATTACAGATTTAATTTCAATGCTTATTATTGGTCCCTTCAGTAAATCAATTTTTTCCTGGATCAGTTGTGGGAGAGTGTATGTGTCCAGGAATTTATCTGTCTCTTCTAGGTTTTTTAGTTTGTGTGTGCAGATGTGGTCATAGTTGTTTCTGATGGTTGTTTTATTTCTGTGAGGTAAGTAGTGACATTCCCTTCATCAATTCTAGTTGTGTGTATTTAGATCTCTTTTTTCTTCTTTATTATGCTAGCTAGTGGCCTATTTTATTTTAGTTTTTTTTTTTTTTTTTTTTTTTTCCGCTAAAATCAAGCTCCCAGATATGTTGATCTTTTCAATGGTTTTTCATGTCTCGATTTCTTTCATTTCACTTCTGATTTTTGTTATTTCTCATTTTCTGCTAGCTTTGGGGTTGATTTGTTTTTGCTTCTCTAACTCTTTTAGTTGTGAAGTTATGTTGTTGAGATCTTTTTAACTATTTTTATGTGGGCATTTAGTGCTCTGAATTTCCCTATTAACATGACCTTACCTCTGTCACAGAGATTCTGATATGTTGTATCTTTCTTCTCATTATTTTCAAATAACTTCTTGATTTCTGCCTTAATTTCATGATTTACCCCAAAATTATTCAGGAGCACGTTGTTTAGTTTCCATGTAATTGTATGCTTTAGAGTGATTTTCATTGTGCTGATTTCTCGTTTTATTGTGCTGTGGCCCAAGAATTTAATTGGTATGATTTCAGTTTTTTTACATTTGTTGGTGATTGTTTTATGTCCAATTATGTGGTCAATTTTAGACTATGTGCCATGTGGTGATGAGAAGAATGTTTATCTTCTGTTTGATGTGCTGCTGGATTTAGTTTTATATGTTCAGTAGATATATTCTCCACATGTCTACTGGATACTTTTGTAAAGGTCTATCAGATCCATTTGGTCCAATGCTCAGTTTAGGTCCTGATTATCTTTGTTAATTTCTTCCTCAGTTATCTGTCTAATAATGTCAGTGGAAAGTTGGAGTGTCCTACAATTATTGTGTGGGAGTCTATGGCTCTTTATAGGACTCTAAGAGCTTGCTTTATAAATCTGGCTGTTCTTGTGTTGGGTGCATATATATTTAAGTAAGTTAGGACTTCTTGCTGAATTAAACCCTTTATCATTATGTAATGCCTTTTCTTGTCTTTTTTTTTTTTTATCTTTGTTGGTTTCAAATCTGTTTTGTCTGAAATTAGGATTGCACACCCTGCTATTATTTGGTTTCCATTTGCTTGGTAGATTTTTCTCCATGTTTTAATATTGAGCCTAAGAATGTCATCATCTATGAAATGGGTCTCTTGAAAATAGCATAATATGTTATTTAACTTGTCAATCTGTGCCCCACTTTTAAGTGGGGACATTTAGACTGTTTACATTCAAAGTTAGTATTAATATATATATATATGAAGTTGATCCTGTTGTTGTACTGTTAGCTGGTTATTATGTTGACTTATTAGTGTGGTTGCTTAACAATGACACTGTAGGGATGATTTTTTTTTTTTTTTTTTTTTTTTTTTTTTTTTTTTTTTGAGACGGAGTTTCGCTCTTGTTACCCAGGCTGGAGTGCAATGGCGCGATCTCGGCTCACCGCAACCTCCGCCTCCTGGGTTCAGGCAATTCTCCTGCCTCAGCCTCCTGAGTAGCTGGGATTACAGGCACGCGCCACCATGCCCAGCTATTTTTTTGTAATTTTAGTAGAGACGGGGTTTCACTAAGTTGATCAGGATGGTCTCGATCTCTTGACCTCGTGATCCACCCGCCTCGGCCTCCCAAAGTGCTGGGATTACAGGCTTGAGCCACCGCGCCCGGCCTGTAGGGATGATTTTTAAGGGACATGAACAACCACAAATTTTGGTATTTGTGAATGCCCTGAAACCAACTCCAAGAAACCACTTTATCAGAAGATGTTAGTGAGGAGGTTTGCCCGTGCTATTAGACCACCTGTATTTGCTAATATTGTTTATCTAAGTTAGGCTTATACACTTCCATAAAGACTGGAGATCAGGCCATTATGAGAAAGACTTTCCTGGGTTGTAAAAACTGGCAAGGTGCAGAGAGATTTGCATCTCAAAGGGGTGCAGAAAAAAATAAAATAACAAGTGTTCTAAAATAAATGCTCTAAGAAAAAAGGTTACGACCTAGAGTCAGAAGGAAACCTATCTATAGTCCAGTCAAGAAGAGGGAATGTTAATGGCATCCTGGTATAGATCTATTATTTGTTGAGTTAATGGATAGTTAACCAGAAAACTCAAAAACATTCCATAATACTGTATAAAACTCCTGTCATGTAGTAATGAAAATACTATTATTACTATGTGTTTATATAATTTAAATAAACTAGGGAATAATATATAACATTTAAAATTTTAAATATTCAAATGAATTGTTCTGAATATATTTTTACATTTTTTCTAACTCATAAAAAATAAAACAGCATTATTATAATATGGAGGTTCACAAGTAGGATTTAATGTTTTAAGTAAACATCTTAGTTCTGCATTTGCTAAAACTTCTAAGAAATTGCTGATGACTTTGACGTGCATTGCAAATTGAATAACACTATAAGCATAATGTGCATTGCAAATCGAATAACACTATAAGCATAACGTGCATTACAAATCGAATAACACTATAAGCATAGTAGCTAGATAGACCAGGAATAATAATTTTTATTGCCTACTAACTGAAATTCTTTCATATTTTGAATGGTGTTTAATGTTGTTTAAATTATTGTAACTATAAAGAAAATATATCCAATCTAATTAAACCTGTGTAATTTGAAAGAAGGTAAATTTAATAGCTATATTTATGTCCCTCCAAGTGTCATTGGATATGGTATTGGTAATGTTTTCAAAGCATTTTGCTTTTATTTTTTACACATTTAGGGTACTCTGTATCACCTAATATGTAAGACAACAGTTAATTAAGCTAAATTGATTATATTGTGCATTCTCTAAATTATATGGCTTATTTATTTTTCTTTCTAGCATCATCCATTTCTCTCCCAATTCCAGATGCCCAGCCATTTTGCATGTTTATGGAACTTAATCCCAGACCTGAATTTCATTAACTGACCATAGTCTTAGTTAAGTTTCTACAGTAATGAGTTCATTGGGCTGAAATTTTGCAAAGATATGGGGGGAGGGAGAGGAGTAAACATCATCTACATTTGAAAAGAACAAATTTACAAATCAGTACTCCTTAATGCAATTTTTTTCCCCTTGACTAACTAGGAGTTTATTTGCATGCATTCTAAGTGACAGCAGAATGAGAAACTAAGATTTTTGTCATTTTAATTTAACACAGACTCACCCAGAAAGCAGAGCACTGATTCTGCGTGAGAAAGGCTATCTCTACAGACACTAAAATGTGAGTCCTGTTGACTTGTGTTATTAAATTTTACTATGCTTATATAACTGACCTGGTGATATGACCTGACATTTGTTAAGATATTTATTGAGATAGTCTTGATTAAGTGCAATTTCTGCATTCTTATAAGGAATACAGAATGTGAGAATTGATATGTTTGTCTTATTGTTTAGTTTAAAAGAATAAATAGATAATTTAACTCTGAAGAAGATAATGTATTTGTGCTATTAACATATTCAGTTTAAGACATATGGTTTTACATGGTTTTGATATTCTCATGTATTTATGGTTGATAAAGTATGTAAATGAGATCCCTCACATTTTCCATCCTTTTTTAAAACATAATTTTAAAATTTCTGTGACTAATATTCCTAAATACTTAGGACATATATTTATTATCTCAGTTTTTCTCTTGGATTTTCCAAATGGAATAAGCTGTCAGTTAATGATCAATGCTTGGTGCACTTTTCTTCTTTGCTCTGTCGTACTTCTGTCTTTCAGCTACTTGCTAATGGTGGGCATCTCTTCTCACTGTTTGTCCTCTGATAATTTGTCTTTGATAGCCTGCATTTTGTTCTTGAACCCTACCATGACTACAACTCTGGGACAGTAGAACTACCAAACATAAAAGTAAAAGAGCAAGATGCACAGAACCTGTGAAAGTTAGAGAATACATAAGGCCTGGTAATTGATGAATTTTCAACTGGAAGATAGTTTTTACTTTATACCATTTGCTGTCACAGTACCTGAAAGAATAAGGAAAAATTCCCCCCCCCCCCCCCAATAATGGCTAATTGGGACTATTTGCTTTTTGAGAATCTGCCAAGGCAACATGCCATGTGGCTTTATCTTTGAAAGTGAGGGTGAAACAAGCTTGCCTGGCTGCAGATAAGTGACTTAGAATGAATCCTATTCAGGTTTACCTGTCATTAATTTATCAGGAGGTTTTGTGATTCATACAAACTATTCTATGTGCGATAGAGCGTTAAATTGGTTTCCTCTGGGAGCAGGTCACATTCAGGGGTCGTCAGACTCATGTTATTGGTGTATGTATGCTTGACTCATATAGCCTTTTTCTGCTGGCAACTTGAACATAAGTTAGATAATCCCTTGGAACATTTATACAGCAAAGGGATTGACAAAAACTTCACTATCTCTTAATGTGCAAGTGTTTGTAACAACAACAAAAAAATTAATCAACCTGTCTTTTTTTTTAGCATAGTCATTTATTCTGATAATTAAGTAGTTATAGATATGTTTCAATTTAATGGCCTAGATCTTGATAAATGCACTTTCATAGCTCCTTTATTAAATTAAACAAAAGTATATTTACTTAAACTCATTAGTTTATACTGAAAAAATACAGAGGTGCTTTGAAACAAGTCTCGCCAAAAATTAAAAAAAAAAAAAAACTTTAAGAAATAAAGATTTTTCCCAGTAACAATATGACTTTTTGCTGGGGAAATTTCAGTTGATTACTTTGTATATTTTGAAAGACAATGGCATAAGTTATAAAATGAGATAGATGAATGTTTATATTGTGCTGAGTGACTTGAGAGATTTGGGGACATTTTTTCTTTCTTTAACAAGAGATACTTAGCAAATACTAAAAAAGAAAAAATCCTTTCTTTATTTTATTATTTTCATGATGGAGTGTGTAAAACTAAAACCTAATATATTTCCTTGTGTTTTAAGTGTGCCTCATTCTGTGCAAAATTAAGCCAATAAATGGCAAAGTGGCAGTTAAATGAAAGCAATCAGTATAATCTTTCTAAAGCATTTTTAGCATGCCATGACAACAGTCTTTACTGTGGGTAAATGAGCAACATAAACTGATATGATTTTTTTTCTTTTTTTTTAATTTAAAATAGTTCATTATATTCCGTATTGCAATGTAAAACAAATGCGATCATTTCATAAAGTAGCAAAGAAATGCTCTTACAGGTTGATACAAATGACTTTATGCTGCATTTCCATTGTGTAATCTTTTAGTTTTGTCCTAGTTGTGAAAATGTGGAACATTCAACATAAACCAGGATTTTCTTATTGATGAATTAAAGTATAATTAGGGCATACTGTAGGGAACCTATTAGATCTTTCATGCATAATTCCCCATAATTAAATGAGATATCCTTCACATCACTCAATCCTTAAATTAAGACTGTGACCTTAAAACCATGTAAAACCTAATAAACAGCAGTGTGAAATCAATATTTTTAATAAAATTGTTTTAGAACTTCAAAATTTTCTGATAATTATCTCTCTTAAAAAAAGGCAAAACAAGAAAACTGGTTTATGAAATTTGAAAAAAAAAAGTACCATTATACCATCTGCAAAGTACATAGACATATTTCTGCCCTGTTCTCTCCATCCTAAAATTTTGTTTCTATAGAGCATAAAAGATCTCTAAGCTTTATTTGTTTAATATCTTTATAAATACTATTATAAGTAAAATTTTGATGCCACAAAAGAAATAGCACTTAAAGATATGACCTCTCAGCAAGGCAGTTTACTTTTATGGAATGACGTGGGGGGACAGAGCAATGATAGTCCCCACACACTTGGGCAAGGGGGAAGGGTTACTTATGCCTGATGGAGGGTCGTCTCTGCTGCTGTGTCATCCCCTATTGGCTAGGGTTAGACCATACTAGCTAGACTAATCCTGATGGCTATTTTTTTTAATTGCATTTTAGGTTTGGGGGTACACGTGAAGAACATGCAAGATTGTTGCATAGGTACACACATGGCAGTGTGGTTTGCTGCCTTCCTTCCCCTCACCTGTATCTATCATTTCTCCCCATGCTACCTCTTCCCACCTCCCCACCTCCCCGTCCCTCCCCCATTTCCCCCCATCGGACCCCAGCGTGTAGAGCTCCTCTCCCTGTGTCCATGTGTTCTCATTGTTCAACACCTGCCTATGAGTGAGAAGATGCAGTGTTTGATTTTCTGCTCTTATGTCAGTTTGCTGAGAATGATGGTTTCCAGGTTCATCCATGTCCCTACAAAGGACGCAAACTCATCGTTTTTGATGGCTGTGTAATATTCCATGGTGTATATGTACCACATTTTCCCTATCCAGTCTATTGTCGATGGGCATTTGGGTTGGTTCCAGGTCTTTGCTATTGTAAACAGTGCTGCAATGAACATTTGTGTGCATGTGTCCTTATAGTAGAATGATTTATAATCCTTTGGATATATACCCAGTAATGGGATTGCTGGGTCAAATGGGATTTCTATTTTTATGTCATTGAGGAATCACCACACTGTCTTCCACAATGGTTGAATTAATTTACACTCCTACCAACAGTGTAAAAGTGTTCCTATTTGTCCACATCCTCTCCAGCATCTGTTGTCTCCAGATGTTTTAATGATTGCCATTCTAACTGATGTGAGATGGTATCTCAGTGTGGTTTTGATTTGCATTTCTCTAATGACCAGTGATGATGAGCATTTTTTCATATGTTTGTTGGCCTCCTGTATGTCTTCTTTTGTAAAGTGTATGTTCATATCCTTCGCCCATTTTTGAATGGGCTTGTTTGTTTTTTTCTTGTAGATCTGTTTTAGTTCTTTGTAAATTCTGGATATCAGCCCCTTGTCAGATGGGTAGACTGCAAATTTTTTTTCCCATTCTGTTGGTTGCCGATTCACTCTACTGACTGTTTCTTTTGCCATGCAGAAGCTGTGGAGTTTGATTAGGTCCCATTTGTCTATTTTGGCTTTTGTTGCCATTGCTTTTGGCATTTTGGTCATGAAGTCTGATTGGCTATTTTAAAAGGAGCCATGATCTGAGCTGGAGTGACAGGGTGGGTGTTTTGGTGGAAGGGACCATTATGGGTATGTCAGAGTAGGCAGCCAGGGGTGATCCGGTGACTAGGATGGGTCAGGTTGGGGTGAGGGATCAGATGTGAACTACTGATTACAACCTGTGGAGAAGATTGTTTACTAGAATTAAAAGGAAGTTAAACTTTAAAATAGAGAATTACAGAATAAGAGCTGAACATACTGACATACTGATTCTTTAAAGAGAAAATTGGGGTCCACTATAACAATACCATTATAAATATACAACCTATTAGATTATATTTGTTAGGGACATCTAAAAGATTTCACAAATATTTTGCTGCTCAGATTATAACAATAGTTTCAAATAGTTTTCTCTATCTTTTGTAAATTTTCTTCTGCTCTATGTGTTACATTAGGTAGTGAGGCAGGTATCAGCAGGGCAAGAGAGGCTCCTCCCCACCAACCACCAGGAATGCCAGTTTAACAGGTTCAGCTTTTAAACTGTCTCTCTAAAGAATTATTGGTTGCAGCATGTACCAGGGAAAAGCAATCTCCCATTTGATAGGAACACCAGAGACTGGTGATCAGCAGCTTCCCAATAAGATTTCAGAAGTTGGGCAGGTATACTGAAGCATGCACATTAAGAAGCAGAATGGTAGAGTTTAACTGGTATATGACCTTCCTCCAGAAACACTCAACTGGGAAGAGAAAGATGCCTCAAGTCACTAAGAGGCAAAATGGTGGAGTCTAAACATTCAACTTGCAAGGGAAAAATGCCACAATTGAACATACATATAACTTCAGTAAACACACTGCTCATGCAACCCCTCCCTAGTGCTGGCAGGCCACTGTGCATGAAGGCAGCCCAACTCAAGGGAAGAATCAAGGGAGAAGAGATACAACCCCTTGGAAGCATGCCAGTGTACAAAACACAAAGTCAAAGCTCAAACCACACACCTGAATCTCACAAGTTTCCTGATTGGCCCTCTTCCAAGTGTACTTTAATTCTTTCATTCCTGCCCTTCCTGCTTTATAAATTTTTAACAAATTTTCATTCCTACTCTAAAACTTGCCTTGGCCTCTCACTCTGCCATTTGCCCCTAGTTTGAATTCTTTCTTCTGAGAAGACTAGAAGTGAGGTTGCTGCAGATCCATGTGGATTCACCACTAGAAACATATATAGACATATATATGAATATTAAATACTATATGATAGC